AATCATATCATAGTTATCAGCCGGTTGGAAAATACCTCTCGATGCTATTGTCACAAACTTCTGTCTCCTGAAGTCTTTATCGACGTTGTTCCAATAGATTTCTGCAGCTCATCCGGTCATTCGACCTGGAGGTATCATTTTCTGTTTACTGTTTCTCTGAAACAAATGCGGCATTCTTTAGTTTAGCGATTGTCCGTCGTTCTAGCAAAGAGTCAGTCCACTGTCATATCACTTTTCAGTTTCGAAACGACATTGCAGAAACCTCTTTGTGCTGTCATTCTAAATCTTTTTGTTTTTTTTGTTGGTCGCAACACACATCCTTTCATGCTGCTTTCCATCAGCCACACCATAGGTTGGCACACTGATTGAAATCAATGTACTTCAAGCACTGGGATAGTTACTTGGATAACAGCATTTTCAATCTTCCAAGAGTACCTCATTCCATTTTGACCCTTCTGTTGATTTCACGCATTTGACTCACTGCTGCAGGAATGGGCTGCATCAGATAAACTAAGTTTCGCACCTCTTCCAGCCTTAGTCCCTTGACTTCAACAGGTTCCGCGGTGGCGTATTCGTATGCATGACATGGGTCTTCTTCACCTTCATTTTCACTCTTGATTTGAAACCGGTAATTTCAGTCAGTCATAAAGTGAGCTGAGACAAACTGAAGTCACAACGCCAATGCATCAGGCAGCAGGACTGCTTGTATCACACATCTTGGCATGGTGGCTTTACAATGCCATGTTACCTAACCATTCATCAGTTGCTAGCCGTTTCAATGACTAAATAATCTAACCTCAAAAGCGTGATTAATTCGCAAAAGAGAAATATCAGCAGTTAATGAGGGGAATTTTGCACCGCCTACGAGTGTGAGTCTTGCATCTCCATGATCCGACCCACTTGTCCGTTGTTTCTTGCAAATAAATAAATAGTAACTTAATAAGTGATCACTGACTTCCAGCAACTGATATGATAATACGTGTCGTCAATCATTGTCCGAACAGCGGAAATAAATATTAAACCTTGTGAAGCGACACTATTTCCCTTAAGAATGTACTCTTGTCTAGGTGAAGTGTTTGGAGCTAAAATGGCTGTTCTAAACCGGTACTCTATTAAAAATATCGTTCTTCATATAATCTTTACGCACTTCATGCTCTACATTAACAGAAGTAGTTCGTCGTTATAGTTTTTCATAGTTGCTCTATTAGAAAGAACGAGAATTCTTTAAAAATACATGTTTAATCAAACCCACAAAAGTAAACAATATGTTTTATCCATTTAAATGACAAATCATCGAACAACAAAGTTAGAAACGAACGTACTATCGAGTTGAAAGTGTCCAGAAGCAAGATGACGTGCCTTCTTTCATTTCTAGCGGTAGTGGTAATCTCCGCATTTTGCCAGGTAACATTCGTGTATGTTTACATAATCTTTGCATATTATACTGTAGTATTTACATGAGATTTTACATGTATTCGTGTTGCATAAGAATAATCACATTTTTACTCATTGCCATTCGTTGGCTTAATGAAATAAGTGCCCCTCTCTCTGCACCAGGAGAAAATATCAACTGGCTGCATTGATTATAGACTTTATGATATGAAACAGGGGGAAAATGCAGGGCTTTACATGGTACCTAAGGAGACTGGAAGATTGAACTGGTGCTGGAACACGCCGATGTTAAGATCAACTCAGTGATGCGGTCTTGCATTCGATG